GTTGATATGTTGTCTTCGTTTTAGTTTGTAACCCGTATTTGTTTTGTCTCATTGGCAATCATACCACATTTTCTTTTTTATAGTTTATGTTTCATATTTCTAACGAACGTATTGTTTTTTTTCCATAAAGTTCATGTCATCGAACTAACAACCATGAAATTGAATTGTTTTTTCGTTTTTTATTTTCCAAGTTTATACCTTTTTTCAAAAATTTCTTTAAATATCTTAATACTATTATTCCAAAGGGATAAGATTCTCATTTATGTGAATCGAAAGTATAGCCTTTTCATTCTTTAGTCTGATGCTTTTAAAGATTATTTATGTATAAAGGCATACTTAATGTGTGCAATGTTAAGGACAATAGTATTATGAAATTATTTTTATGCGTGTGAAGCTCTTCTCTGGATTAACCTTCACAAACTTCTTTGCTTCTATAAACATGTCAAAATTGCTAGTTTATGAGTTCATACCTGTAATAAATTGGTTAACGTACGTATTGGTTTTTCTATAAGGTTCATGTCACAAAGGAATAAGGGTTTAATAACCTTGCATTTAAATTGTTTCTTTCGATTTTAATCAACCTAAGTAATAAGTTGCTTCTCTAATCTTAATAGTAATATCCCAAAGGGCTCAGATATTCTTCGCAGTAAAAAGAGACTATAGACGTGCCATTTTTTCGTCTGATGCTTTCAAATATGTTTTATGTCAATATAAATGTGTAACGAATGCCAGGTAGACAACTCTACACCAAGTTGCAATGTATAAAAAGTTAAAAATGTTAGGTTATCATATTCCTGACTTTGTACAGGCATTCTCTAATTTAGAAAATGATGGTTTTGTAGCTAGTTAAACCTCTCTCTTGTAAGCGTCGTCTGCTATGTATACAACACCATGCAAATATTCACTTACTCAAAATGATCGGGAATATGATACATTTGGTAAGAAACAGATCAGTCGATTATTATCGTGTAGCGGGTTATTTTCGCGGTGTGTAAATTTTCTCTTTTTTTTCGCGGATAGAACAAAATCACTAAAATAAATTCCGCTTATTTAAAATGGCACATGCGAAGGTATTGATTAAAGTTTTAAAACCGCCAAAATATTTCGAATACCTTATTCAATGAAAATCGGGAAATTTTACACCCGCGAAAATAACCCGCTATACAGTATTTTGTTCTGAAGATTTAAGATTGCACTAACAGGTCGTAAGTTACTTGAGATACACAAACTCTGTATCAGGCAACCTGTGTGTGCTTGAAACCGCAAAATCTAAAAAGCGTTTATTTCACACGTTTCACCCGTTTTAAAAACATTCTTATATTACCAAAGATCTTATATATAATATTTGTTCACTATCATGCTGGTTTGTCACTTACATAGAAAAAAGAAACAATTTTAATATCTTTTGGATTTATCGTAGACTTTGTTGTCAAACATTTTTCATACTTTTAACGATAAAGGTATGCCAAAGTCCGTTCTAAGAAAGACATGATTTCTTTTTTTTTTCTCACTATTTTGTTAAATCAAGGTTTTAGTAGTTATTGATTGTCAATTCTCGATAGAACTACATCTCAACATATTTAAGTCGTGGTAAGATTTAAAATAAACTTTTTTAAACAGAAGACCAATAGACAAAAGTATAGACATAAGTTGTAAACACAAAAAAAGCACAAAAACAGAAAAACAAGCCACAAAATGTCCAAGAACACTATTCAAAGTGATAAAACCATATGTATAATTTAAGCTTAAATATAAAACTAAAAGTAGTTTGTCAGGAAAAAAATTAACAGGCTAGAGAAATAAGAAAATAACGTTAAGATTGTGACTTGGCTAAATTTGTTTATGAGTGCTCAAAAACATATTTAATCTTTTATATATAATTGAGTTGAACTTAACTTATTCAGTTGGAACCTAGAAAAACAAATTACCAAGTTCACTAAATTGCGATCTATGAGTCCATTTAGTTACCTGAAATTGCTGGTGGAGATTATTTCCCCGAGGATATCACCAGCCCAGTAGTCAGCACTTATGTGTTGACTTGACTTGCCATTGATATGTTCATCATTATAAATTAACTGTTAAAAGAATTTTGAATTTTTGAAATACTAAGGCTTTTCTACCTCAGGAAGAGAGTAACTTAGCTGTATTTGGCAAAACCTTAAGGAATTTTTGGTCTTCAATGCTCTTCAACTTCGTACTTTTTTTGGCTTTTTAACATTTTTTGATTTGAGCGTCACTGATGAGTTTTTTGTAGACGAAACGCGCGTCTGGCGTAAATATAAAATTTCAATCCTGGTATCTATGATGAGTTTATTTACTGTACAAAATAATCATACAAAACTATATTTTAAACTGACGGAAACATTGCAATTATACATCTCCTGAAGTATTTGCTTCATAAAAATATCGAGGCATTAAATGTATTAAAAAAATGATTCGATCATAGGGAATCTAATAACAATCGTAGTAACTGGTATTAGTGGCTGATCTTTGTTTGTCAAAAGATGAGATATGCATGACATCTTATACGAATCAAATCTATGAAGGCTACACAATTATAACTAAAGATACATTGTAAAAGGTTAAAATATTTACTTTGTTAGATATGAACAAAGTTTGATCCTTTTGCAGATATTTAATAAATGTTTTTATCAACAACTACTTAAATCAATATCTGTAATAATGTAAACCCCCCCCCCCCCCCCCCCCCCTCCAAAAAAAAAAAAAACAACCAACAGTCATGTCATTAGTAATTTCGCGTAATTTCGCGATAGTTTTCTCGTAATTACGAGATATGTATCTCGTTATTACGAGATAAATATTTGTTTTTACCCTAATAGGCTTTCGTAAGTATGCGTTCCTATATTAAGTTATGGAACATTGTCATCAAAATTGATATTTAATTTGTTTTTTTAATTTTTCTCGTTCAGATTCAATAATAATATTTTCCTTCTACGTTTTTTTGCAATTATGTGATTTGTCATATGTATAGATCAATGTTTACGTAACATCTGTTGGTGAATTAGAATAATTATTTAACAGTACTTTTCTTAACGATTTGGATAAAATAAAGGATTTAAAAAGAAAGTTTTTTGATAAAAAAACATATTTATTTTGTTTTGTTTTTTTGTGTGTTTGGGAATGAGTAATTTAGACAGATGTCTGAATTATCGTGAAATTAACTTTATTTGTAAAATTTCTTAATATGAACTTTTCGATATCACAAACTAGGCAAAACATTTACTAAATTTTATCATCGGTATAAGGACATCTTTCGTAAATATAGCTCAACATGCAGACTTCTTATACGTTCAGGTATTTCACATCTAATTTTTTATGGAAATATTCTTTATGAAGCACAAAAATGTCAGTATTCACCTCTGAAGCTAACAAAACCTTTAAATAGACTTATTAAGAAGGGATATAGTTACGATACTGTTGTCAGGTCTTTAAAGATTGCATATTTTGGCGTTAATATTGATTCACTTATAGGGTCTTTGCATCGGCACTAAACACATTTATTTAAAAACCAGTTGTTGGCATGACACGGGTTATGTTCTTCTCATATATGTTATGATGGTATGATACTAAACCTCTAACGGGAAGGATTGTGCCTGATATTCATATGATGAAGACATAATCTTTCAATCAGTTTAATTGAAGTCTGGAGCTGGTATGTCAGTTAACTGCTAGTAGTCTGTTGTTATTTATGTATGATTGTCATTTTGTTTATTTTCTTTGGTTACATCTTCTGACATCAGACTCGGACTTCTCTTGAACTGAATTTTAATGTGCGTATTGTTATGCGTTTACTTTTCTACATTGGCTAGAGGTATAGGGGGAGGGTTGAGATCTCATAAACATGTTTAACCCCGCCGCATTTTTTTTGCCTGTCCCAAGTCAGGAGCCTCTAGCCTTTGTTAGTCTTGTATCATTTTAAATTTTAATTTCTTGTGTACAATTTGGAGTTTAGTATGGCGTTCATTATCACTGAACTAGTATATATATTTGTTTAGGGGCCAGCTGAAGGACGCCTCCGGGTGCGAGAATTTCTCACTGCATTGAAGACCTGTTGGTGACCTTCTGCTGTTGTCTGTTCTATGGTCGGGTTGTTGTCTCTTTGACACATTCCCCATTTCCATTCTCAATTTTATTAGTCATTTACGAGTTTCATGAATGTATTTATTATATCAACAATGCGTTAAGAGATCACTGATTAAGACATAGTATGGACAATTTATCTTTAAAACATTTATAATTCGAGAGATCCTTAGGGCACAAGAAAACATGTAACTGCAGTGCCATTTATACAAAATAGCCTGACTTATTTGTTATGATCATGATGCTTGTTTTAAAGCCTTCCGATTTAAAATTATTATTACTGACGTCCAAATATAGCAAGACATGGTTCCTCTCTTACATGAAAAGTTGAGTCCATATAATTTGGGTTCAACTGGATAATTTCCTGAACGGAAATTTTACTACCTTCCCTAATGTCAAATGAGAGAGAGAGAGAGAGAGAGAGAGAGAGAGAGAGAGAGAGAGAGAGAGAGAGAGAGAGAGAGAGAGAGGAGAGAGAGAGAGAGAGAGAGAGAGAGAGAGTATAATTATGGCAAAACAAGACATCCAAATTATGAAAATAAAGAATTACTTTTATCGTCACAACTATAGATAATTCCAGGTACAAAACGTGTTCGATATATTTTAGGGCGATAATGTAATCTTCATTCATTGAAATACTTGTATCGTTATAGTACTCGGAAAGTTAAGCAGGGAAACGTATTCTATATGTTTATTCTCGACATTGTGTGTTTTAAATCAATTCAGTTGTTTTGATCACGTATATGAAATACCGGAAATCGAAAAGAGATTGTTGTTAAACTAGCTCTTTTAAGGATAGTTTTGTGTTTTCTTATAACTATAGTTTCAATCGAGCGACTAACCTGTTTAATTCAATCCCAAATATTAAAGTTCAAATTAAGAGAGGCAATTGTACTTACTGTGTACTAGTGTAATGGTGTCGCCACTTCTTGTGTCAACTTTATTGGAAGCAGAACAAACGTAAGTTCCTGTATTCTGTATAACATTTAAGGTTATTAGAGATGGTGATTCAACATCCCCGTCCCTATAAAAGCTACCACTATCGTCAGGATCAATCGTCGATACAGAACCGCCATCGTGTTTCTTCCATGTGACGCCTGTGAGCGGTAGTTGAGATGTCACTATACAAATTAAATGTACAGACTGTCCAAATATTCCATCATAGGATGACTGTGGAATTCGTACTTTTGGGGGTACTGTTGAATATGATTTTATAAAACATGAACAAAATATCAAACTTTTTCTTGTTGATTTTTCGAAAAGATTATTCCAAGAAATATTATTGATTTGCATTTCATTTTCTACCTTATTTGAAAACATTGCTTGCTAGCCAGTGTAATCAGTATAATCATTCACCTTCGTTTAAGTTAATAAATTGTTTGCCGCATCCAGACAATTGTTTTCAAACAAATTTATAAGATTGCAACTTATAAATATTAATATTTTTACAAGTGTAGATTATTTTTGCTTGATTTTTATGTTGTTAAATTGGCATTTTAAGGGGAGGTAACTCTGAAATAGTGCATTTTCTGAAGGAATCTACATGGAATTTTCCTATTTTGTTTGTTAGCCAGAAAAAAACGTACGGTGACCCTATCTTTTCTTTTGATATTCTCAAAGCCTTATTAAAGAGCTATCTTCTCGTATTTTATTTTACAATTCTATCATTTAGTTTAGATTCTAATCGCATAATGTTGTTTTTTCCTGTATAATCCATACAAAATGTGTCATTTTGTCACAGCCTGTAGCTTTAGAAAATGCACGGTGACTGATCATTTTTATTACATTTTTGAACATATATCAATACATACTACGTTTTGGCAAAGTATGAACTAATTCTATCATTTTTAATTTAGACTCACATACCACATTAAAAGATTCTTTTTTCTTTCTTTGTTAACTTACAGTATACATTTTCTGATTGTTTAACGTTTACAGCTGATTACAAGTTACGGGATCGATCTGATACGGTTTATCATCCGTCAGTACAAGTAATGTTTTCTACTTGATACCAAATTCTTTCTTTATTTTAAATTTTACTTACTAAACATTTTGAATTAACTTTCCTTTAAAACGATATTGTTATCGAATATTTAAATTTCTATTATTTTCAACTAAAAAAATTTAATATCAAACCGACTGCTAGCAGCCGGTTTGATAATGAATATCGAATAACGTGTAACGAACCGGCCGCTAACTTCACATCCATTAATCAAATAATCAAAAATACAGTCGTAGATTATCAAATTGTTAAATAATCATGAAATATTTGGTCTGGTAATCAAATAAGCGTTATAAAAAAGGCCAAGTAATCAAAAACCCCATGAGAAGGCTCATTTAGCAAAAGTAGCTCCAAAAATCTTCCAAGTTTTCTTAGAGACTGAACAATTTTTATGTTTATGTTTTGACATTATGCATGCCTTTCGACATAGGTAAATGTATTTAAATATACGCAAAACGTTCACAGTTTATATCAACAGATGAAGTAATCACTGAAAAAAGTAAAATCTACGGAAGCGTCGTCATGCGACGTCCACAAAATGTCATCTTTTAAAAACGAGCAAATAAAATATGTTACAAGCATCCATTAAAAAAATAATAATAGTAAGCATGGACTAATGTCAAACTGTTCTTAATATTTGAAGAAATACAAAAAACATTTGTCAATCGAATTTTAAGGATGTGAATTTAAGCGTGAATGCAATTTGGGTACTCCTCATTATGTACATATTCATGGATCGTTTGGGGTTGGTTCAAACCCAGTTTTCTATAATTCAATATGGATTCAAAATTGAATTGGTGGATTTATATAGTAAATAAGAATACATTTACAAAATAAACTCCGAATGGAAACTTTTGTCGGGAACATAAATAAACGTAGGTAAACTGTCAAAATAGGTGCAATTGGGTACCTTCACGTTACTTGTTTTTCTGTATCTTTATCAGATTTTTTAATTTTTGAACATTTTAAAAGGAAAATATATGTAGATATAATATTCGGCTGTTTTCTGCTCTTTCGTCGGATTGTTGTTTCTCTGACATATTTCCCATTTCCATTCTCAATTTTATGAGTATATTCATGGATGGTAAATGTGTAACTGACCCTCATACTAAAAAGAAATCTCACTTAAAATCCATACCCTACAAGTCAGGGACAAGCTAGTTACCGTTATTGAAATATTTCCATTTTATGCAAAAAGCCATGAGCACGTTGGATATAGTGTAAGTCATACTTCTGTGCACTTTAGACATTATAGCCTGATCCCCTGGCTAAATATCTGCCTTGTGTCCAAATGTGAGCTAGGATTGGAAGCTACATATCATTATTTTTTTTCAAATGTAAAGAATCAGCATTACTTGAACTTATGCTTGCTGGGAAAGGGTGAGTTTTCTATTTTTAACCTTTTCATTGGAAGGTAGGCGTCGGTGGACATGACATTGCTTTTCGACTTAGCAATATAGTTGTTTTCTGACAAAGCAATATATATGTGTACTTCAGAATACATATATTTATTACAACATAATTGTAAAAGATGTACACGAATCAAAACAAAGGTTTATTCTCCTTACTGTACAATATCTTTCTGATTGCTGATTTCAAGTTATATTTATACGTATCATTTCAGATTCAGAGAAAGATAAAGATCTTTAGAATTTACAGACAACAAGACGATGTGTTTTGTTCATAAAGAGGTACTTTTATGAAGCATTTTGATTTTCCTTTATATATAAAAAAGTATTGCCAAACATGATCACATTAATGGGCGTCAATTACAGGGCTGAGCTTCTTTCACAAAGTTTTCTCTTGCATCATTATGAGGGAGAACGACTGCAATCGGCAGTGCACACATTTTAGGGTCAGCTTTTAAATAAATTGACCGATATGTGTAAGTACATAGGTAAACTTCTATTGCTACTTATTTGAGATACTCTTGCCTATATTTGAATACATTGATTGAGTTAAAAATATTTGAGCATTACTATTAATTCATTCATATTAAAATTTTTAAACTTGCTTTGAACCACTATCATTACTACAGTACAACAGATGCCCAGAACATCACACTTGAATCAGTACACTTTTCCTGAACACACGACTAGCAACTAGCTTTTTGTAATATTCCACAGACTAATGGACACATGTATACTGCAGAACATTTGCACCAAAGCAAAACATATGTTGTACCGACTCTCATCAGCTACTCCGAAACTTCCTGCAAAAAAATGTGCTTGCTAACTGTAACTATTGTTTCGTTCTGTTACCTACTCGGGTACCTATATAAGCATATTAATTGATACATTATAACAGGGAACGCTGATTAAACATCAAACAGATATTTGACTTCTTGATTTTTTAAAGGCATGCGATGAAGTGCCCCATATTGAGTAATTGAAGAGTCTTGTATAGACGAAACGCGCGCTCGGAGTACTCAATTATCACCAATCATGTAGTCAGCACTCCTATGCTGACAAGAAATACCAAAGATGCGATCATTTTCTGTTAATTTACTGTAACAGAACTGTTAAATTCATTCAAAACACTTACGTGTTTCTACCCTCGGCAAAAAAAAAAACCTTGATCGGATTTAGTACTTCTATTTGGAGTTTATGGTTTTCAGTGCTCTTCTGATATGCCTTAGTTGTTTTTGATACCTGCCAAGTAAATGCAATCCACAGAATCGAACGAATTTAAAGAAAAGATGCATTTATCTTATTTTTGCGATTATAAATCAAGAACCTCATGCGCTGTCACAGACATCCTAAAACCTCTCGGTCAACCAAAGTTGCAAGTAAAAGATCGACGAAGCTAAGCTTGTCTTTACAGATCAAAATTGTAAAATAGACTAGATCTGGCCATATCTAAGTTCCTTGTACACGTTAAAGTTGATAAACAGAATAGGATACGATCTATTCATCTAATGACGTTGACACTAAAAGTGTCATACCTTGTTTCCAAGAACACAATGACAGATGTTTTAAATGTTTGCCATCTAATTAGAGATTTAAAAACACGCCTGTTGATTAATGGAAACAGATAAAAAAAATAACAATGAATTGAAAATCATCAGAGTCATTAACGACATTATTGCGATTGTAAACATGCATCTCTCTTTCTGCATCTCGTCTTTTACCTTTCTGGACAAGAGTAATGAGACCTACCAAATATGGATTCAGATACAGTACATCAGAAAACAAAAACAAAAATATATATATGAATCAAATTCCGGCTTTCAGCAATAGACATGTGATAAGCTCTTTATCTTCTCAAATCTTAAACGCTGTGAATGAATTAAACAGAGTCTTTGAACGATCTGAAATGTACACCCCATTCCCTAAATTTGAAAAGTAGAAACACAAACTACACATATCAAAGACAAGATTCCTTATTTGGAACACATGCACATTTCTCAGGCTTAAACTATTGTTGTGATATCACAAATTCACCCTTTTAATCTTAATATTTTGCATAAAAAATACATATCATTATGTTCAATAAGAATCAGTACGAAAAACTTGTAGGGGAGGCTTATCAGATAACGCTAACACAAATACACACGAAACAATGAGGAAACATACATAATCAAACAATGCTGTAGTTATAGAGAAGTTAAGCTCATATGACTTAACATGTTGATATCAAACGCTATAATACCAGTGTCTGTAATTCGACACATATATAATACAGCAGAATAAAGGCACAAGAAAATAACGGTTCTGAGCAAAAAGTAAAATAACAAAAATACCGAACTCAGAGGAAAATTCTAAACGGAAAGTCCCTAAGCAAATGACAAAATCAAAGCTCAAACACATCGAACGAATGGATAACACACCGGACAAATTTGTAAGCATGAGCAAGTTATTTTTACACAAAAATACAAGGTTCATCAACAATACCTTACTGTATAGCATAAGTAATGATAGAGGATTATAAAACAATATTTTCCATTACAGTCAATCAAACCACAATGGTGTCCATAAAACTTCTGAAGAGAATACATCAATTTTACTTTTGTGCAAGAGTCAAATTATATAACTTGTGTCCATGCTGTTTGTCTAAATAAGAAAACAAAGTAATTATGGACATTGCTAGCCACATGCTATTCACACCAGTGACAACTACTTCCTAATAAGGGTTAGAATGCAATCATTATTAGCAAATCTGTGTAGAAAACCATAATAGACTACTTCAAAAAAAATAAAAACTATACTTGTGACTTCATAAGCTTACACCAAACCAATAGCTTCAAAGATTTTCAACTACAAGAGGGTATTACAGATTGATTGGTGTTTACCGCCACTTTCAACACTTTTGTGCTATTTCGTGGCGGTCAGTTTTTTTATGCAGGGTATTAAAGACATTTACCCTTAAGGATGTAGAAATCCACAAATCCCGATCCCATACAAATATATGCCCGCTAGTTATGTTATGACTGGAGACCTTAACATCATAAACAATCAATAACTTCGATATTTGTTAGTTAAAGGCCCGAAATATCGAAGTCCCTAGCCCATCAATAGAAAGAAGAACAATAGGTTACTGATGGATGAAGTTGACGAGTATGCCAGAAAATAAGCGAAGCGCCAAACAAAACTCGAAACTTTAGATGAATGGATCAGAACTGTTCGGTCATGTATTCATAGGCGCATTCAAAACCTACAATACGCAATAAACTTACGGGTTTCTGACCCTTTTAAGAAACCAGAGGTTGTGCATTCTTTATTCCCTCTTCCTTACAAATATGAATGTTCCTTCAGTAAACAAAACCTAAAGTAATATTGTTTTAAATGCAAAAACCATTATTTGGAATGTCTTAGTTAAGAACTTGGAATACATAGTAAAATGGGAATAAAACATATACCCCTTCATTATTTACGAAAGAAGATATTTTAGAAATTCGAAAATCTGTCATATTTAAACTGGATACCTAGTTTCAACCCCTTATAAGGAACGATATATTGCCGGGTCGTCAAGCATTACCATTCACGTCTCAGTCATTACAACTGAACGGACGTGCTGGGTCAGCTCTCCTTTACCCGCTATCTTCGATGAGGGTTTACAGTCAGATGGATCAACAACTTACTACTTTCGATGACAGAAACCAATCCAACGCTGTACAGACTACGTTAGGCTATAATCCGGTAGGGGCAAATTCCCGCGTCAACATACACTCCAAAACCCATTATGGATGGAGGAGTGGTATGCCGAGTGACGTCCGAGGGCTGTATCCTAGGTGTTAGATGATGGACCGCCATTTCACTGTCTCACGACTTTGGTCCTGATAATGCTTCCTGTCATCGTTAATACTACGTCCGAGACTCATCTACTAGTACTCCATCATCGAGGTTAGCGGGCTGCCAAGCTGACCAATCTGGCCCTGAAAGCAGCCGTTGTGAAGACATAACATCAAAATAGTCAACAAAAGAAAAACCAAAAACAACTCACAAAACCAAGATGGCGGCCTACCAAAATGGCGTCCTCCACCTGTTCCTGACCGATGGCACAAAATTATTTAAACGCTCACCAAACGCCTTCGGGCACCGAGCCGACCGTGCGAGGGATGTATATCCAGTCAAGGTCGTTAAAAACTTCCATTTGTTGGGTCGTCAAGATTTTGAAAACATCTTTCCACACGTCTTTTCACAGTCAAGAATAATGTGATGAGTTAAATTCAACAAGAATTCTGTGATGGAATCATATGCCATGACGATTTTAAAGTAAAATTTGTTTTCAAAAGTCAAACTCAAGCTAGCAGGTCACAAAGATGTTGAAACTATTTGTATTAACTCCTTTGCGATCCAAACGCTTATTGTTATAATCATTAATATTCTGTGACAAATATCTTGCTCCAAATAAAGATTACATGTTTATTAGCATAATAGAAAAACAAAGGATATGGGGTTTCCATCCACGACACAAAATCAGTACATGCACAGCAAAAACAGCTTTTATTGCTGTTCTTCATCTCAAAGTCACATTAGGGCCTTCAACAAGGAGTCAAAAATACCTCACCCCACTGCAAGTTTATGAATCTCCCAAGCACTAGTTGGAGTGGAATTCTTTGCAAAATGATACTCATCAATATTATAGTATTGCAATCGGCATTTTTGGATGGAACGAAAATTGAAGGAAACAAAAAATTTAGACGAAGAGTAGAAAGAAAAAAATATATCAGCATTCATCGCTCTTACATTTAGTGTCATGCAAATATTATTACTGAGCTGTATTTCGGGCCAACATTATCAATATGTGACAGATACGACGTCAGTATTGGTTGACTACTTATGCATCTCTTCCGTCAATTAACGCAATTGCCAAGGATCAATAACAAAAGCGTTTCCATGGAGTGGTACAGACAATAGGCAGGCATCTTATCACTCACCAAGGGAAATCAAAGACAAACACCATCAATACAATAACGACGATACCGAAACGTTAAAAGGCTGGTGAAAATGAAGTACTTTGCTTTGATAGAGAAGAGTGTATTGTCAAGTTTTTCAGGTACATAGGATGTAAATATTGTCTTGGATGCCAAGCTTGTTGTCAATACACGCAACGGAGAAATCTGTAGCTATTTTTTAGGTACCTTTTGGTAATATAGGTGTCCAACTGTTGAGGTTATTATATACATTCTTGGCTTTCAAATATTCGGCTTTAAGCGTTCCTGATGAAGGTAAATTAAGAAAAGCGTTTCGGACGCATGAAATTTATAGCGTGTTGTTTTCAAATTTAACAGCACTGGCTCGATACCTCAGCTGGTAAACTATCAGTCCCTGGGAGTATCATCAACTCAAAAGTCAGTACTTTGGTACTGACAAGGTTTATATCATACCTTTATAAAATTGTCCGGTT